ATTGCTGGACATGGGCACCAGCGACCCCCGTGACCCAAAATGGAATAAGCGGGTAAAGATAATGGATGGATGGATGGTTTTTAACAGTTGATTTTTTTTTGTAAATTTTAAGACCAAGAAAAATACCGTATTGTTGTAAAAAAAAAAAAAAAAAAAAAAAAGTAGATTTCAACAATTTTGTAAATTTTTAAACAATGAAGTATTCAGGCCTATGATCTTATTTTTTATTGCGGAAAAAGTAAGTATCCTACTTTGAAGAGACACATGAATGAATATGCTTTACTCTTTGTATTATTCTACTCTGTACATTTTTGCAACAAAAAAAAAGCCAGGAAGACAGTTAAAATGACCCTTTTTTATTTTAGTATAATAACCAATAAAATACAGTTTTATGTTAGCTTTGGTCAAAGCTTGAAAGAGCCACTGTAGAGGGACCAAAGAGCCACCTGTAGCTCCAGAGCCACAGGTTGCAGATACCTGGACTAGACCAGATGCAGGAAGAGGGCCACCTGCATCATGAAGGACCCCACCCACCCAGCACACACACTTTTTGCCCCACTCCCCTCAGGAAGGAGGTTAAGGAGCATTAAGTGTAGAACCACTAGACTGAGGAACAGCTTCTACCATGAGGCTGTTAGACTCATGAATCTCTAACTAGAATAATCACTGTGAAAAACCATATCATGTTGCTGCTGATCTGTTTCATGTTGCTGCTGATCTGTTTCAATGTTGATGTGTTCATGCGTGCACATCCGCTCACAGACTCATGTTCATGTTTGTGCTGATGTTCAATGTTTTATGTTATGAGTGCTTAGTGTATATTTAGTTGATGTTTTTCTTAGTTCATATCTTAGATGTTATTACTGTTTTTCTTATACATTTTATTGTTGGATGTAACTGGGACCCTGTGTACATAATTTCGCTCCACCACATGTACCACATGAGGTGCGAATGACAATAAAGAAACTCTGACTCTGACTCTGACTCTAGATGTATTGCTTGGAAGGATTGGACTTTGACGAAAACTGGGAAAGTGTTTAACATACCAGGGTTTGTTATGTTGGACTGAGGGGTACTG